TGTATGCACATGATGTTTATTTGATTTGGTCATCCATTATTTAAATGAGTGGAAGGAGGAAAATGTTTGTTTTATAGATTTTCAATTCAAAAACTAATTGGCAAATAAGTGGTTTGGTCTATATTTTCTTTACGAGTGAGTCCTAATCCCAAATGAGGTCCACTTCTGAGTTCACACACAAAAATGTACGAAGAAAAAAAATCCGTCCATGGGACTCAACGTGTGGCTTTAAGCATCTTGAAAGCCCTAATCATACACCGGTGAGAAGTATCAGTTTCGTAATTAGCTACAATTTTTGTTTTTCGGCTAGTTATGTTTCTTTCTTTTTTTTTGGTAAACACTAGTTATGTTTCTTTTTGAGCCATACTCTTCTTGGACGGTGCTACATTGCCACTTAAAGCATAGTTGCTTTTTTTTGGGGGGTGGGGGGTTAAAATCTCTGGTCGGAGATCCTTTTTAAGAAATACTTTAGGAAAATAGTTTACGTTGGAGTAGTTTTCAAAACCCTTCAAAATAGACCAAATGGATTTTTGTAATTCATTATCCGTTCTCTTGTTAATATATTTTTGGTTACACCAAGAAAAAAATGATCGGTTCAGCAGGGGTAATTAATCCGGTTTAAGGCAATTTAAGCTAATTTCTAATATATATGTGAAATTGTAAACTAATATCTTTTTATATAAGAAAAAAGACTAGATCTTGCGTGGCCCACATTGGCGTCCACGAAAATGTGACGCGTCAGCACGAGACTCTCTCGCACACAACTTTATATTTCATGTGCTCGCATTTTTTGGTGTGTTATTACAAAAAAAAAAGTGGAAGAATTGAATAATTTGCTGTTGAAATTCTTAGGTGTAAGAAGAGTTCAACTGAAAATGTGTCATGATATTATTCAAAGGTAACTCCTAACATCGTCAAACTAGGGACATCGTACGTATTAAACAAAATAAATATTGATATACAGCTTTTTGTGTTTCAACTCAAATTTTACATTTTTAATAAAACATATATATGTGTTTGACTTTGTTGGATTATAATTTCCGTGGAAGTCATAGCTATTGTGTAGCATGGAGTTGTTCACGCCGCCGGAGACAAAGCCTTGATACTTAACCAAATATTATACGACCATGTTTCCACCAAATCTAACAAAATATTTGGTCAAAAGGGTAGTTAAAATTAAAATTTATTAAATACTTAAGTATAAGTTAACAATGTTGAAAAAAACAATTATGAAGATATTTTAACGCCACTAGCTCAATGTTTCTGTTCTCTAAATATAGCTAGTTGGATCTATTTTCAATTCCAGTGCTACGTTATGAAATATGATTTATGCTATAAAAGCCGTTCTATGTATTATCAACTGATTGACTCGAGTCTAAAAAAAAACATTTGAACAATATATACCATGGTTGACTAGTCTCGAAACTATGTGGATGGTCTATGCATAATTTGAGTAAAAAAAAACTAAAATGCTGTCAAAGCATAAATCCTTATACTGTACATATATATAATTCACAAATTTATTATACTAATAAATCATTTTAAAATCGGAGGCTCAATACCATATTGACGTGCGGGAATATGCTTCTCTTCTTAGTAGGCATTGAAGACTAGTAAGTAAATATTACTAGTATACTAAAATTAGCTTTAAGGAAGTTTCATAAACTAATAACTATAAAAGCGACTATACATTGGCCAAACCCAAGAGGCGGCTCATGGCCAACTTGTACCAAAATGGTGGCTATAACGACTTAACCATGCTCTTCTTTCTTGAAAACTCTACAAAAGAAGCGATTCTCTCTGCTTAACAGTGTGAGCACTCTATCAATTTTACTTTAAATATTAATTAAACTATGCATACATATGTGCTTACGTATGTATATATATGATTTGCAGAAGAACTATTTGCCAGAATACGATACCGTGAAGTGTTTTTGGACTTTTGAAACGTTATCATGCATGCATGTATATTAGCTTAGTTTTGTGATTTATGCCGATCCGTACATCATGAATATACCTTCTACTTTTGATTAGTGATTGCGTGCGTGCGTAAATATATGATAATATATTAATTAGCTAAAAGGTAAGCACTTATCGCTTCGGAGAGAAATTTACGGAAATTAAATGAATAAAGAAAGAAATTAACAAAAACATTAGCTTTGCTCAAGAAAAACAAAACATTAACTATACGACATATTTTATTTTATTTGAGAAAAATTTTTAATTACTAAACGATATATTTATGGAAAATTGGCTAAAATAACCTAAAAAAATTATATTTCACTAACTAACCAAATGGTCGTAATCTAATGGTTCACATTTCTCCACATCATGCTATTTTCAGCAAATATATTTTTTTTTTGTTATTGTTGCAAATCACCTTTTATATTTATAAGCATGTCTAAAGGAATCCTGTATATATTATCTGGTTATCTGAGAAATATAAACTCTATTCGCCGTTCTTTGTGAGCAAGTTAATATCATCTCAATAATCAACCCACATGTAATATAATTTGTTGTTATCTCGATATCTATTTTCAAATGTGTCCAAAGCTTTGTTCTTATGAAACTGACGAGGTTTCACGTGATCCTCGTAGTCCCATATTTGTTGTTTTGTTACACAATTTATATACTCAAATAGTAATTTTGTAATATTGCCCGAGACATGGTCAACTTTCTTTGACGAGGACGGGATGTAATCACCATTTCTGGTTACTTTTAAAATGATTTCGCTGTAATGATTTTATGTTTTTCTTCGTAAATGTCAAAACCACTGTTTTATCAAACTATATCATCACAAACCGATCTTCAAAACTCGATGTCGAATTATTTATTTACTTCACTTGTTTGTTGTGGTGTTTTTTCTTTTTGTTTATTATAAAGCATAAAACATGGTCAACTTTACTTGATGATCCCGGGATATAATCACCAATTCCGGAAAGACCAAGGGCAATATTGTCATTCAACAATTATAAGAGAATCCGAGTCATTTGAGTTTCTCGTTTGCTTCCTTACTAGACGCGTTTGTGTCTGACTCGGAACTCAGTTTGACTCAATTACAATAATCTTTTTTCTTTCTCCTAAGATCTTTTTTTTTTTTTAAGTGTCTTATAAATTGTTAACAGCAAAAAAAATAACTAGAGATGCAAGTCATTCCAAAAAATAACTTTTTTTCAAAAAAAAAAATTAACATATAAATTTTAATCGAACAATCCCATTTATTAGCGCAAATGACGTTGTGATTTATGTAAATCACTGAATACGGAAATTTTGATTCTAAACATTTCGTAAATAGTTGAAAAAAGTGGATTAAAGATCCGGCTAGAAATGAAAATTTAAGTTGAACATAAAATGACCGCATTATTCAGAAAATCTACTACACATGAGATTTAGTAGTGTTTTTATTTTTGTTACAAAACGAATAAAAATATGATTTGACTGTGAGCAAAAAAAAAATATGATTTTGACTGAAATATAGGTAACTACGAATATTCCAATTAAAAAAACGTGTGGACGGAGAAAAGTTTTCTCTTTTCTCTCTCTCTCTAAAGTCTAAGCTAAAGAGGCATATAAATAGCTGTCACCTGCCGATTATTTGTAAATCAGAACGCACCAAATAAAGCTTTATAGCTCTCAAAACTCATTCTTGAAAGTTTTTTACCTTCACTTTTGAGAAACAAAAAACATTTATTCATTATTTAATTCTCATATTCATCAACTCTAAATGGCTCTAGCTAAAGAGATAATGGGTTCTTCTATGATCTTCGAAAGATCATCATTAATCACGTCTTCGTCTCCGTTTCAATCTCGTTTCTCCAACAAGAAGAGAACACAGTTCTCGATCAATCCTTTTGATCTGAAACCGATGAGAGCCACTAACTCAGGCAACATCGTGGCGGCAATCAGTGATGATTTGGTTAAAACGCTGCGTATTAACACCGTCGGTAAAAAGCAAGAGAAGAAGGAAGAGGAAGAGAAGGCGGTGAAGTTTAAGGTTAGAGCGGTTGCGACGGTGAGGAACAAGAACAAGGAAGATTTTAAAGAAACTTTGGTTAAGCATTTTGATGCTTTTACTGATAAAATCGGTAGAACTGTCGTATTGGAGCTTATTAGCACCCAAGTTGATCCAAGTAAGTCTTTATAAAAAAAAAAAAAATTTATTTTGTGGGTAATTTCGAAAATCTTGTTTTTTAGATGGGTTTTTCTCAAATTGGTCAAAGTTTTGATTTTTTTTTTTTTAATTTTGTTATAGAAACGAATGAGCCAAAGAAGAGTAAACCGGCGGTATTGAAAGACTGGTCAAAGAAATTGAATTTAAAGGCGGAGAGAGTCCATTACACGGCGGAGTTCACGGTAGATTCCGCTTTCGGTTCGCCGGGAGCCATCACGGTGACAAACAAGCACCAAAAAGAGTTTTTCCTTGAGAGCATAACCATCGAAGGTTTCGCATGTGGTCCTGTTCATTTCCCTTGTAACTCATGGGTCCAATCCCAAAAAGATCATCCATCAAAACGAATTTTCTTCACTAATCAGGTAATTAATTAAATATTTCATTCAATCCTATCAACAAATCCATTAAATGTGAAATGAGGTGGTGGGTCCAAAAATTGTCTTAACTAACAAAAGTGACGTCTATAACTACATATATTGGATTGAAATATTAAATGTTTTGTGTTCGCAGCCTTATTTGCCGAGTGAGACACCGTCCGGTCTAAGAACATTAAGGGAGAAAGAATTGGAGAATCTAAGAGGAAATGGTAAAGGAGAAAGAAAATTATCAGACAGGATCTACGATTTTGACGTCTACAACGACATAGGAAATCCAGACATATCATCCGAACTAGCCCGTCCAACATTTGGCGGTCGAGATTTTCCTTACCCTAGACGTTGTCGAACAGGCCGGTCTTCGACAGATACCGATCTAATGTCCGAGAGACGCGTAGAGAAACCATTACCGATGTATGTGCCTCGAGATGAGCAGTTCGAGGAGTCTAAGCAAGACACTTTCGCTGCGTGTAGGCTTAAGGCGGTTTTACATAACCTTATACCTTCGTTAAAAGCTAGCATTTTGGCTGAGGACTTCGCTAACTTCGGTGAGATTGATAGTCTTTATAAAGAAGGATTGCTTCTCAAGTTAGGGATTCAAGATGATATGTTCAAGAAATTCCCTTTGCCTAAGATCGTCACTACCCTACAAAAATCTAGCGAAGGCTTGCTTAGATACGATACTCCCAAAATAGTTTCAAGTAAGCACATTAATTCACTTATAATCTCATTTATTGCCTCTTTTAATTATATGTCGTTATTTCATTTTTCTTTATGACATTTCGAGGTTCATGAGTTAACACATGTGTCATCACATGCGGTTTAATCATGAACCAATCCTCAAAAGCGAGAAAATCATTTTTTGTTGCTTTAATTTTGTGTACTTGGAACCAACAATGAAACCTCCCTTCAATAACCAAACATGCTTCACGTGCTTAATTCATTTGTTTATTTGTTGTGTGTTCACCTAAAAGTTAAATCTCACTAGTAGTAGTTATATTAGTTTGAGAATATTTAAGTTATTAAAGCGCGTTTCTGTTTTATATTAGTTCTCTAAACTGCCTACTTATTTTGTTTTGTTATTATATAGTTTAACTTGTTTCTAATGACTCCTTTTACATTTAATTTTAATTCAGAGGATAAATACGCATGGCTTCGTGATGATGAGTTCGCACGCCAAGCCATAGCTGGAATTAACCCGGTCAACATAGAACGAGTCACCACTTATCCACCGGTCAGCAATCTTGACCCAGAGATCTACGGTCCACAACTTCACTCTGCTCTAACCGAAGACCACATCATCGGACACCTTGACGGCTTATCCGTGCAACAAGTACGAATCTAATATATGATCTCATAAATAACTTTTCACAAATACAAAAGAAAACACGTTTGATTAAATTGCTAACGAATCTTTGTGATTGATTTTTTCAGGCCATAGAGACTAACCGATTGTTTATGGTTGACTACCATGACATATACTTACCATTTCTAGACCGAATCAACGCGCTTGATGGACGCAAGGCTTACGCAACCCGAACCATATTGTTTTTGACTCGTCTCGGTACACTTAAGCCTATAGCCATCGAGCTAAGTCTCCCTCCTCAATCAAGCTCAAACCGAAAGTCCAAACGCGTGGTCACACCTCCCATAGACGCTACCTCCAACTGGACTTGGCAACTCGCCAAGGCCCACGTTGGATCCAATGACGCTGGCGTCCACCAGCTTGTGAACCACTGGCTACGTACCCATGCGTGTCTAGAGCCTTTTATATTGGCTGCTCATAGACAATTAAGCGCGTTGCATCCGATATACAAACTCTTAGACCCTCACATGAGATACACTTTAGAGATCAACGCCGTGGCACGACAAACTTTGATTAGCGCGGATGGTGTGATCGAGTCATGCTTCACAGCCGGTCAATACGGTCTAGAGATTAGTGCCGCTGCCTATAAAAATCGATGGCGATTCGATATGGAAGGCCTCCCTGCTGATCTTATCCGAAGGTAACGTCGCTTAAACTAAATCTCATGCATTCAACACTTTCTAATAGGTTCAAAATCAAAATAATGTAGAGAGTATAGTAATAGATACATTATTGTAGTGACTAGTGAGATAAGATTTTTATTGTCTGGTTAAATTTGGTTTCTAAAATAATTATTGTATAGAATCTAACTTTTTTAATGTAAAATTGTTATATTCAGGGGAATGGCTGTTCCTGACCCAACACAACCACATGGGCTTAAACTAGTAGTCGAAGACTATCCATACGTAAACGACGGTCTCTTAATATGGTCAGCTATCCAAAACTGGGTCCGAACCTACGTGGAACGTTATTACCCAAACCCGAACCTAATTCGAACCGACACAGAGCTCCAAGCCTGGTACTCTGAATCAATCAACGTAGGTCACGCCGATCACCGTGACGCCGATTGGTGGCCGGAGCTTTCCACCGTCGATAACCTCGTCTCCGTCTTAACCACCATAATCTGGCTAGCCTCCGCACAACACGCGGCTCTCAATTTCGGACAGTATCCTTACGGTGGTTACGTCCCGAACCGACCACCGTTGATGCGGCGGTTGATTCCCGACGAGTCAGATCCCGAGTTCGCGAGTTTTCTTGAAGATCCTCAGAAGTTTTTCTTCTCTTCGATGCCGAGTTTGTTGCAGACGACGAAGTTTATGGCGGTGGTTGATACATTGTCGACACATTCGCCGGACGAAGAGTATATCGGAGAGAGACAACAACCGTCGATATGGACCGGAGACGGTGAGATTGTTGATGCGTTTTATGGTTTCTCGGCGGAGATTGGACGGATAGAGAAAGAGATTGAGAAGAGGAATCGTGATCCTAGCCGTAGGAATCGGTGTGGAGCCGGAGTTTTGCCGTATGAGTTGATGGCTCCGAGTTCTGAACCAGGGGTTACGTGTAGAGGTGTACCTAATAGTGTATCGATTTAGGGAAAGTTTAAAATTTTTATTATAGGGTGTTTATTTATTATAAGTAAATAAATAGATTTTTTGAAGCAAATAAAACTAGTTATGATTTTATTTATTGAGTATTATTATTTGCAGAAATTGTAGTAAAATGAATGAGTATCTCTCCAAGGATTTGAGAGAACTTGATTAGGTGAAGAAACCTCAGCCTAAAGACATTTCCTTTATGCAACATTAGCGCTCAACACATATTATAAGAAGTGTAACTAATAAAGTTGAGAATAATTTATTGTTTTTTGTGCCAACATAAATATTAAATTCACAAAGCATAATTTTTTTTGTTAAATTTTAAAAAGTTGCAAAAAAAATGTGGAGAAAATGATTAAGAGTTATCCTTGTTTCCAAGGCAGAATTCAGCCAAGAAAGTGTACAAAATAGGAATAAGTACAAAAATTGAAGAACTAGAGTTTTGATGTCATCAAAATCGACCAAAGAGAAAGGAAGAAGAAGAAGTTAGAATTCCTTTATACTCCCTCCGTTCTTAAAAGATATATACTTAAGGTTAT